TCTAACATTTTTTGTAAAATTGTATTGAAGCATGATCCTGAAAATGTATAGGTATTGTAGCAATAGAAAGTAAAAATGGAGGGCAAATGTTTGCCTCAAGTGATTAGTAGACTAAAAATTGAGAGTTGTAGTCCTGCATTGGGACAGAACTCCCAATGTCAGTCAAGATTCTAGCTCTCATTTTCTCTGTAACTTTGGAGAAGTCATTTAACCTTTTTAAGTTCCTTCATGTATAAAATGTTAGTTGTATTTCCTCCCTTGTAGAGCAGTTATGAAGAAGATGAAGGGTTTTTTTAAAGGAATGGAATGAGTCCTCCTTAACATTATTAGCATATTAATTTTAAGATTTGCATTAGTAAAGTCTAATAGTTCTCAGGTTTTTTTCTAGAATTTATTGATAGAAAGAATAAGTCATTGTTGATTCCTTAACTTCAAGATTACTACTAAGTGAGATGAGATGGTTCTCATTTCTTCCCTTTCCCAAGGTGATACAGACAGGCTGTCCAATAGAATTGAGACATGAACTATATTTTTCTTACATTAGAGGACTTTTTAGCTGTCCTAACTTTTGGCTGTATTTTCTCTATTTGACTATATTTTCTCCAATATTCAGTGGGCTTTCTCTTTCTAGAAAACCTAAGGATCTATACAAGCATCCATGTAGTATAATAGAAGATAATACTGTTTTGAGTAAGTCATCTATTTTAGTTACATTTGGCTCTTTATACATCTACATTAAAAGTTATTATTTAACCTTATGGTTAAACCCATTTAACATTAATCAAAATTTGTCATTCCCAGTTTGCCCTTACCAAGGGTAGAATAAAATATTAGAATATAGTACATTGAATTTCTAGGCTAATCTTTATTTCTGTCCACTAATACTTCACCCCACCTATAGCAGTTCTGTTAAAGTGCATAATGAATGTCTTAAAAGTGCCCTAGAAACTTAGAGCCTTTTAGAGGTAAATCTATAGCTAATATCAGTCCTTGAATGTTATTCCTGGTGCCTTCAAACTGATAGCTTTAAAACTGTTTCTTTTTAATATAAATTCTCAAATCAGATTATTCCAACCAGGGTTCCTTAGACTTTGTGAATTTTTGCATACTATGTATTTGTATCTATTATATGTTAACTAAATTAGTAGCCAACTCTTAATTACAGCCCACTTATACTTAATATTTGTGATTTAATACAAATATGAATTACTGCAAGTTCTTTAAAATGCTTATGTCACATTTAGAAGAAAAATTATCTTCTCATTTAGAGAGGAAAGGCATTAAAATTCCTAGAAAAGATGATTATCATGCTTATCAACTCTTACAGAGTATCATTTAAATCCCTCCAAGAGCCTCACTGAATATTGAATTAGAACTCAAACATGCATTTATTAGATATTTCTGAACACTACAATAAAACAAACTTGCAAACTAATCAGGGCTGATGATGTTGCTTAGTGGTAGAGTGCTTATCTTCCATGTATAGGACCCTACGTTCATGCCCAGCTCTGTGGGGTGGGGGAGGCAGATCAAAATATTACCTTAAGAGAACTTAGATAGTTGGAACTTATTATACCCCTTTATCAGTTTTAAAAGCTATTTTGTACTAAAACTGCCCTGATCAGTTTTCTAAACTGCCTATCTGTGGTGACCAAGGCCTCTGAGATCCTCTCTGACTATTCCCTTGTTTAAAAGTTAAAATTACTCATATTCATTTATATTCATCAAAGGGCTTTTTGTTTATTCTCTCTACATTTTTTTCCTTTGAGGTGAGGTCTTGCGATGTAGATCAGGCTGATCTTGAACTGTGATTCTATTAACTTTGCCTACCTCTGCCTTCCTTGTTCTTTTTGCAACATAATCAGCAGACCATCTATTACAGTGGTGCTTTGGGCTTTAGTATAGTTATCAAAGGTCATTTTGACCTTGGCCTGCCACAGAGCTTAAGCTCCACATTGGTTTGCTTTTTTTGCCCATCTTGCTAGTGTGACAGTGATCCAAACAGTATTTGTTTCTGGCTTGAAGTAATTTAAATGTGTTGACCAGTTTTCATAATAAGTTATCCATAGCAATTGAAGAAATACTATTTTTGTCCTTTGACAACTTACATTAAAGTAGAAACCGGAAGTTGTTATTTTAAAACAATACCAGTCAAGATGTTCAAATACCTTCATGGACACTACAATTTTGTTTTCTCCCTCTGAAACTTCAGGAGATAGAAATCTAAGGCTGCATATAAAAATTATTTTTCCATATTTTTAACCATTCTAGTGTTTTGGTGTTTTATACCATTTATCCCTTATATCTTGAAGGGCTTGCTCTCTTTCTCTTTGTGTCTCGTGTCAGTCTGAAGGGGTTCTCTGTGTGTGTATGTATCTGTCTATCTGTCTTGTCTGTCTGTCTGTCTGTCTGTTTCTCTCTCTGGTTCTCTGTCTTTGTGTCATTTCTCTCTTCTCCCTACCTCTTTCCCCCCAGTCTTCTTCCTTCTTTTCCTGCTGTCCTGCCTCTCTGTCTCCCTTCATCCATCCTTCCATTCCTCCCTTCTTCCTTTTGTTGTTTTGTTTTTGGTTTTTGTATTAGTGGTGGTTCGTTGCTTTCTGTTTTTGAAGACTATTCCCAACACTTGGGAATATTATCACTTATTTTTTAAATAATTATTTAAAAAGTAGTTATAGACATGCCAACTTTCTGCTATAAGTAATACTCTACCTGCGAGGCAACTATATCCTTCTTTCATGGCCAAAAAATACTAAAATGAGCCCCTCCTAATAAGTGTTAGAATAATTTGAACCTGTACTGAGAGACTTCTTAGTAGAAAAGTGGCAAAATGAACTGTCATGTAAATGATATCTTCTAAAGCAACATCAGCTGTTTTATCTGTCGTTAACCTCTTCTGCCACCTGCCGCTTTGCTTGCTTTCATTCCCACGCCTGGGAATATTTTCACATTGTACTCTTTATTCTCAGTAAAGATTAGAGCCACACTTTCAGGAGCAATGATAGGCAGTTTTCATCCTGGAGTTCAGAAGATTATTCTAAATCAGACGAGCAAATAGGAAAAAAAATCCCTAACTACCTAACAACTGGTAAGTTTTCCCTGACCCTCTTTCTTAACATTAAAGCACTCTTGGTCTAAATACAATGACTAATCTGAATAGTTCAGGAAGTTTTAAACAGGTTATTCCATAAAAAATTTTCCCTAGGAATCCCAAATTGAGACTTTATAATATCTTTCATGTTTCCTTTTTTTTCCCCTGTCTTATATTCATCCACAGTACAAAGATTAATTGCATGAAGTTCCCTCCATTTTTTAATTTTGTAATTCTATACTTCTGGCCCTTCCCCTTCCAAAAGGCTACTTCATATGCCAGCCAAATGTTGTAAGATGTCTACCCTCCTTCACCCACGACAGAGTCGATCATCTTTGACACCTACCTGCTTAGTCTCCTGAGTCTGCTACTGATTGTAATTCCCTTTATTGGCGACTCCACCCACCAGGTCAGCTCTACAGGTTCTTTTTAGCCTAATTCAGTCCATTTTTTTTCAATAAATGTGTGTATCAAGATAACTATCTCACTATTTGTTTACAGCTAAGTAAGCATCAGTTTTTAAAATATTCTTAAGCAAACAAAGATGAGTTTTTTAGCTACAAGAGACTGGTTTTATCATGAGCATGAGATCTTACAAATCTAAAGCTCACAAATTAGATAATCTATCTTAACTATCCATTTTAGAAATAGGGGCTCTTTTCTGTGGAAATTGAACCCCTTTGCTCTTATTGATATGTACTTTTCTTTGATTACTGTTAACAATTCACTTTGCCATATATATATGATATTGTTAGAAAGAGTACCTTGAGAAGTCTCTTTATTTTTATCTCTTAGCTGCCTAATTTCCATCTTCCCAGTTAGGTGTAGCCAGTTTGAATAGTGTATAATGAAATCTTCCAGAAACATGTTATGCTATTGCTGGTTTAAAAAGAAAGAAAGGAAGAAAAGAAAATACTATTTGTCTTCTTGTTTTAGCACAAGAAGTTGCTTGTACATATTCTACAACTTTTCTTTCAGTTGACAGATAATCTGGTACTTCTCTGTATCATCAGTTAGGGAGCTCTTCTTCCCCACTCCCTTTTTTAAAGCTACAGAATATATTCTGTTACATGGAAATAGTATAGTTCATTAACCACTCCCTTCTTGGGGGACTTTTTAAAGAATTGCTACTAAAAATAACGGTTGTGTAGTATAAGCAAGTGTATCTTCAGTAGTCTGAGACTGATGATCTGATAGCTACACAGAAGGAAGGGAACACAAGCATACACTTTTGCTCCTCAATCCTTTTTGCCCATATTCTTTTTGTTCTTTCAGACTTTCAGGCTTCTAATTTCTACTGCCTTGCTTTTGTGCCATGTTTGTCTCTTGATTGTAAGATCATGTTCAGCAATCCCAAAGTTAATTCTTGGCTGCTTTCACTATCTTTTGAAAAATTTGAGGGTAGTGAATCTAATGAGAACAAGAATTTAATTGAGAATTTAGTGAAATACTTTTCACATCCATAGCATGGCAGGTAGTAAGCTTCACAAGATCTCAGTGATTCATATTACTGTAATTAAAGTTTATTTTTTTCTCATTCTGTACTAGAAAGTCATTTCAAAATTTTATATACCCAAATTTTAACACACACACCCTCATACACACACACGGTTATTTTTTTTCTTCTTTTTGGTGGGAAAGGTTAAGTTGTAGGTACAGCCTACTTTGAATAAGGCAGAAATTTCCTTTGGAAAGGAAGGGTTTTTATTGCTCTGTGAAATTTATCAAATTAAATTTGCAAGGTCTGGGTTTTATTCTAGTCATACAAGTTTTTGAAACCTTCTTTTCCCCTTGGCTTGGAATTTGAAATTGTTTTCTATGTGCATGATAGAGGAATGCTGCTTTGCTTGCAAATAATTAATGTGAAATGTTTTGAGTAATTCTGCTTTTTTGGCTTTTTGTACCTAATCAGAATTGATGTGACTGAAGTGCAAATCTTCATAATAATCATGCATTTGCTGGCAGTGATTGGAGGACCTCCTTTTTGGCAATCCATGGTAACTTTGTTCACATTGTGTATCCATGTAATGCATGTTTTTGCTTATATTTTCTAATATAGGATAATCCAATTAGAGGGTAATGTGTGCACTTTTTTCCTGAAAGCAAAAATTTACAAGACAATAGGACACAAACTTCTCTTTAGAATATAGAGGATTTTACTATTTGAAGTTATATATACATTAGATCTATTCCAGGGCTATTATTTTTGAAGGCCACTGAGAATCTGAATCATTACTGTCATCCATTTTACATAGGAGGAAACAACAGGTAACGTAACAAGTTAACAGGTTAACAATATTTAAACTTATTCTCTCCTTGAACTATGAGTCTGATAATTTTCTTCTCATATGCTCAGGCAGATAGCAGTTTCAAGATTGTAAATTAACTGTGATGCAAAAATATAAGATTCAGTGTTAATTAATGAAGTCAGTGCCATGGGATTGTTTAAGAAGCCAATAGAGGCCCATCTAAAACTCTGCAAACTTTACAAACACAAATTTTTTTCCAGGAACCTGAGAAATGGAATGTAATATTGGGCTAAAAACATATGCCAGGTGTCAGTGGCTCATGCCTGTAATCCTGGCTGCTCAGGAGGCTGAGATCAGAGGATCGCAGTTCAAGGCCAGCCCAGGCATGAAAGTCCTTGAGACACTTATCCCTAATTAAATCACTGAAAAAGCCAGAAGTGCTGTGCCTCAGGTAGTAGAGTACTCGCCTTCAGCAAAGGGAGTTTAGGGACAGTGCCCAGGCCCAGAGTTCAAGCCTCAAGACCAGTCAAATTAAAAAAAAAAAAAAAAGAACCCATGCTTTAAAACTAGACTGCCTTTGTTTGTTCTAGTTGCTACTGCCAACTATGCAGACTTAAATGTTAGGTAATTCTGCTGGCTCAGTCTTCTGAGCCAGAATTCATAAAATTTTGTGGCTTAAATGAGGTAATATTTGTAACACTGTTAGAATAATGCCTATCAAATTAGTAAGAACTCCACGAAAACCAGTTCTGCTCTTAGAACTTTGATTTTTTGTGACAGGATCTCAAAAACACAACCTTCTTGCATCAGTCTCCCCAGTGCTGGAATTTCAGGTGTGCATCATCACACTTAGCCTCAGTTCGAATGTATTCTTTGAGATTTGGCCAAAGTAGTGTGTTCTTCCTGGTCACCACTTCCACCCCTTATTCAGTGCAATCTTATTAAAAGTATTTACTGAGCTTCAATGAATGTAATTTCTAAAACTCAGATTAAAGTATAAGGGAGGTTGGGAAGGTGGCTCAGTGATAAGAGTGCTTGCCTAACATGCATGAAGCCCCAGTTTCATTCCTCAGTACCATATAAACAGAAAAAGCCAGAAGTGGTGCTATGGCTCAAATGGTAGAGCACTAGTCTTGAGCAAAAAGAAGGGCAGGGACAGTGCCCAGGCCCTGAGTTCAAGCCCCACGACTGACCCAAAAAAAAAATAAAACTATAAGGGAAATTTACTGAAGAAAATATTTCCTTTACATAAGTTACTTTATGTGTTAAAATAATTGATGTGTTTCAGAAAGGTAGAATGGTAAATTTCCATAAGCACTACCACTCATTAGTCATTTGCCTTCTGTTGCAAGGATGAGCTTGTGAAGAAAGAAGGGATGAGGGAATAAAAATAATTTACAGCAAACCAGGAAAATTTTGAAACCATTCATGCACATAATATCACTCATACTTTAAATGTCACTAGAGTAAAACTATTGGCTTTTGAGACTGATGTGTAGAAATAGATTTAGTCAGCTTTGCCCAACACTAGTCTCATTATATTTTACAATTTACCCTAATAGGAAAGAAAGAATAGATTCTGTTTTTTTAAAACCAGATCATAAACCATAAATTGTATCCCAAGCCCCATTTAACTATGTTACTGTTTTCATAGACTTCATTGATTTGTGCTGAAATAGCCCCTAAAATACTAGTTTGTATGTCTTAATCATGTAAATTGCTTGTAAAAGCTCAGCATACTGGTATCAAAATGTGAGATTTTTTTTTTTATTTGTTCTTTTGAAAACAAGTCAGTAGTTGATTCATATACTTAGTTATCCTTAAATATAGAAAATCATGAAACCTTTTAAATTAAAAAACATTATGAACTTATGCCTTATTTCTTGGAGGGTACCTGGAGTGAATTTCATCACATATGCTTTTTGCCTTTCCCACTAGGATTTATATATACAGTACAGTTGGCATAATTTTTTAAGTCAGATTATTTTAGCATTCTAATTAATGTAATCACTCATTTTTATATTTGGGAGAGTTGGTTTCTGATTGGGATATTTATAATTGTTGGGATGCTTTGTTTTGTTTGAAGCAGTGTAGTCTCACCATGTAGACTCTGGCAAATTACAAGGGAAACTCAGATATAAAACTGAAATGGAGTTCTTATACTGAGCAATCCACATTCAGAGTTAGTGAGGGAATTGCAGCAGTAAAACAATTTGCAGTCCCTGGCCTGTGGTTAGACAAGTTGGTTTCTACTATAAGCAACATCAAACTAATGACAGAGCCTTACTTCTCTGGAGACAGAGACCTAGTGAAATAGTATATATTCTTTGAGCATCTCTCAGTACAAGTTCTCATAAGGTTCAGTATTAGTAAATAGAATGCCTGGAACAAGAGGTATTTTAGAATTTGAGTCATTTTGGGTTTGGGGATTTTGCATTGACTTTTGTCAGCTGAATATCCCTAATTTAAAAGTCCGGTATCTGAAATAATTCAAAATTTGAAACTCTTGACCATCAAATTGGATTTTGGAGCATTTCTGATTTTAGCATTAGGAATCCCTTGACTTGTGTTCATTTTTCCTTTTTCTTTTGCCTATGGATTATTGCTCAGTATACTGCTTTCAACTGTATGGTGTTCAAGAACAGTTGGTATAAGTAGTGTCTTATATGTTTGTACGTGAAAATGGAAAAAGCATATTGATTCAGATCAGATGTAAATTTTTCAGCTCTTTTAAGGCTGAGGATATATAAGTAGGCATTGCTTTCCAAATCTTCATTAAAAGCCTCCTACTAATTTTTAGAAATCAAATTTATGGTAAAAACAAATATCTTCATAAGGTTGACTCGAGAAGATCAGCCATTTTTCAAAGGTAAGTAATTTATTGTGTCTATTGTATTTTGATTATTCTTGGTTATTCATTTTCTCCCCAACAAAAAAGATGGATTTCTGCTATAGTAGAATGTAGTTAATGTTGTTGCTGTTTGGAAGTGGGGGTTGTTTTTATACTTTTTTTTAATGGAAAATTTACATTCATGCACAAAATTAGTGCGTGATTTACACATTGCAAAAAACAAAATAATATTGTTTGTGTTTGTCTTGTTTACTCCAAAAGAATATTTACTTTTGAAATACTTGAAACTCTTTTGGTCTCCTTACTGTTTAAGAAAAACAGTATATTCTTCCTTTGGAGAATTGATTCTTTTAAGTATAGTAAGTGATGATTAAATATAACTACAGGGCATATTTTAGCAGTTAAAGCAGTTACACTTGTGCTACAGTAGTTGAAGTTTCAGGATGATTTGGTAGGACTGAAGACTAATATATAATTAATATATAAAACTCAGTTGAGAGGGAGGGGTTGGGGAGAAGTGGGAGAAAATGAAGGAGGGAACACTGATCAAAAAGAAATATACTCATTATCTTATGTAACTCACCCCTCTGTAAATTACCTTTACAATAAAATTTAAATAAACTGGATAATCACATTCTTGAATAAATGAGTTTTCTTTTCGCAGAGCTGGGAATCAAATTAAGTGTCTCAGACATGTTAGACAGCTTTTCTACCACTCAGTTATACCCCAGTGTTTGAACTAATAGGCATTAAAAAGTACCATTACATGAAGTGACACTGTGGCTCAGAATGGTAGAATGCTAGCAGAAAAGCTCAGGGACAGCACCCAGGCCCTGAGTTCAAACCCCATGACCAACAAAGAAAAAATAGTATCCTTACAATTTAATGATTCAGACATAATGATTTTTTCTGAAAACTTGGTGGACACTGTAATTACATTGACATTTACTGTGTTTTCATAGACTTCACTTACACCAAAGTGACTTACAAAGAGGCATACTTACAAAGAGGCATTTCCACATTGGAAGAAAATATCTAATCTTAAAATATTTTCTATTCTTACAAAACCTGTTGATTTCCATATTGATGTACAACACTTGTGTTAGTCCAAAATATTTGTTTATGTAATCTTATAGAGGTACTAAAATTTAAGATTTTTTTCACCTCTAATCTTTTTAAGAAATTGTGTTAAATTGCTATTATTTGTTGATTACACTCTTGTCACAAATCCAGTCGATTTTCCACTGTCTGTTGAAAAGACTCCATAACCTACAAGAGTTCTTAGTCTACCCAACTTTTAAAGACTGCTTACAGCAACTCTAGACAGCCCTAAAATAAGATGCTTCTTAAACAGCTCTTTCACTGTTTCTATAGGTTAATTGTACTTTGGCCATCTTTGAAAAATGATGACAGAAAAAGGAAAATGGAGACATCTAGACTGTGCCTATTCTTCTTGATCTTGAGTGTAGATTAAAAACAGTAACACTTTGAATATTTTTTGTAAATGGTTCATTTGCTGCTGGTCTTCAATGGACTGTCTGATAAGACTTTAATTTCCTCTGAGTCCAGTTTTCTCTTTACCTGCTTCACATTTGCTTGTAGCTAACCACCTTTTTTCACTGATAATGTTGAGAGTAAGGTGTTTCTTCCTACTTTCCCAAACAAATTCATAGACACAACAAGAAAAAGGAAAGGATCCTAATTCTCATTCAGCAAATATATATTGAGCACCAACAATAACCAAGAATACAGAGAGAATACAAAAAATCATTTCAAACAGGGCTGGCAAGGTGGCTCAGTGGTAGAGTGCTTGCCTTGCATGCACGATGCCCTGGATTCGATTCCTCTGTACCACATAAGCAGAAAAAGCCGGAAGAGGGGCTGGAAGATGGCTCATTGGTAGAGTGCTCGCCTTGCATGCCTGAGGCTCTGGGTTCAATTCCTCAGCACCACATAAGTGCAAAAAAAGAAAAAGCCGGAAGTGATGCGGTGGCTCAAGTGGTAGAGCACTAGCCTTGAGCTGAAGAGCTGAGGGACAGAGCCCAGGCCCAGAGTTCAGGCCCCAGGACCGACTCCTCACCCCCCTAAAAAAAAAAATCATTTCAAACAGAATCTTAAACTCAAAATTATATTTTGGTGTATATAGCTAACATACATAACAGAAATCATGAAAAACCTAGCTTGCTTACATTGTGACCCAAGCCATATAATAACTTGCTTAGCTTTTCTAATGTTTGTGCTTGTTATTTCTTGTTCAGAAAGTAACAATTTCCATGATCCTAAAGCCTAACTATAATATAAATGTAGTTATAACATTCACGCTGTTCAGTTATGACACAAACATCTTAAGAAGACTTATTTAGTACCTTAGCCATAATAGAGATGCCCCTGAAATGCAGTATGTTAGGCTTTTTTAATGAACAGAAATAGCATTTCCTTATTGCCAAAGAAGTCCATTTTCTCTATGGAGAGAAAAGTACAAGGGGTTGGAAGGTGACCAGGAGGTAATAAAGTAACTAGAATATTGAATTGCAGCTTAGGTACATCTAATTTAAGATTGTAGTATCTCTAGTTTTCTGAATGAGAACAGGAAAAAAATACATGTATTTTTGTAGGTCAAAGCAACTGTGGTACTTATTTTCTCTATTGAAAACATGTTTTGAGTTTGGGCTATAGAGATTCGATTATGAATGAAGGATATACACACCACCCACACGCACACACACGCGCACACACACACACACAGAGAGTATATTCTGTAAAGTTCTGGATTTATAACCAGGTGGTGGCTCACGCCTGTAATCCTAGTACTCAGGTGGTGAGATCCAGAGGATCCAGGTTCAAAGCCAGACCAAGCAAAGTTCGCAAGACTCCATCTCCCAAAATAATCAGCAAAAGCCAAGGTAGAGGCATGCTTCAAGTAAGCCTAACAAGTACAAGGCCCCTGTGTCGGTGTTGGGAGTGGGGGAAAATCCTGTACTTAGTTTTAGGTTAACTTGTTTCATTTTTTTTGGTCATTAAACAGTAATTACTACACTACAACTTGAAATTTGAACAGTTGATTTTTTTTTTTTCTTTTTTGCTTTTCTGTTTTGCTTCTTAGAGCTTGCAATTTTGCAAGAGGTCATAGTGTTGGATAAACAAAATGAGTTCTTGAGAGTATTAAAGAAATGGAATGTCCAAATATTAAGATTTATTTCTGCTAATTTTACTTGGTTTTTATTTCATTTGGGTTTATTTTAGTGTCCTTGCTTTTTTCTGCTTTTTATGAGACAGTGTCACTACTGTCAGCTCATACTGGCCTGGAACTTATTTTATACAGTAGCCCACCTTGTTTTCAAACTTGTGGTCCTCCTTTCTCTACCTTCAAAGTGCTGGTACCACCCACCAGTGACTGAGATTATTTATGTACCAAAAAAAAGAGAAAAACAAAAAACAAAAAAACCTGATTTGGACAGTATAGGCAGTTCCTACTTCAAGTGCTTTTGTTAAAAGAATTCATTGCATGTCAGTCTGCTGTGGGTCTTTGCAGTCTTGTTCCTATAATCATGGTGTAGGTTTCTTTTCAGTGCATGCTGGACAGATTTTGAAACCAGATAAACCAAAGGAAAATGCAGATTTTTAAAATTTAGTAAAGTCTCTTCATGAATATTACCAATTCATTCAGTCTCCCCCCCTCACACACACTTTAATCAGTGCACATTTTAATTTATAGCCCTATAGCATTTTTCTGAAAAGTAAATTTAATATATTAAAATTGAGGGTTGTAGAGCTGTAGTTGTTTGAATGTGTTTGAGGTATTTTTTTCTTTCCTGAACATGAATACCACCTCTGTTATACTTACTACTTATACTTACTACTTATACTTACTACTTATACTTACTTATGCTTACTACTTATACAATTTATTTGTCCTTAATAACTTGATACTGGGAATTCTGAGTAGAATGTTTCTCTTGCATTCTCTACAGATTTTCTTCTTCTTTTGGAGACACAGTCTTATTATGTAACCCAGGCTAGCCTAGAACTTGTGATCCTCTAGCCTCAGCCTACCAAGTGTTGAGATTTACAAGCTTGTGCCACCACACTTTGGATTACTTTGCTGATTTTAAAAAACCTAGTTGCAGGGGCTGGAAATGTGGCTCAGTGGTAGAGTGCTTGCATGAAGCCCCGGGTTTGATTATTCAGTACCACATAAACAGAAAAAGGCAGAAGTAGCACTGCGGCTCAAGTGGTAAAGTGCTAGCCTTAAGCACAGAGAGGCTCAGGGACAGAACCCAGGCTCTGAATTCAAGACCCAGGACTGGCAGAAAAAATAAATAAATCTAATTGCAATTTTTTTTTTGTCAGTCATGGGGCCTGAACTCTGGGCCTGGGTGCTGTCCCTCAACTCTTCAGCTCAAGGCTAGTGCTCTAACACTTGAGCCATAGCTCCATTTCTGGCTTTTTTGCTTATGTGGTGCTGAGAAATCGAACCCAGAGCCTCATGCATGCAAGGCAAGCACTCTACCACTGAGCCACCTTCCCAGCCCCATAATTACAAATATTTCTATTTTATGCTTCATATTTTCTTTTACCAACTAGGAATGCACTACATATTTAGAGATAAGATTTTTGAATATACATAATGATAAAAAAAAAAAAAGCAAATACTTCCATAAAAATGCCAGAAAGCAGCATAGTTCACTGTTGCCATACCTCTGGGGTGCATTAGCAGAACCTTAGTTCACTTCTAACACAAATTAAGTCAAATTGTTTTAAAATTGTTATTAGAAGGACAGTTAATACAGTCTCATCTATTGAGACTTACATTGCTTATAATAAAGAAAAAAGCTTCCATTACTTTGACATTAACTGAATTGGAGAGAATGGAGAATATTTGGAAATATGAATAAAATATTTGACTGTTACTGCTTTCTTAGTTTGGTTTATACGTATTTTAATTGTTCTTTCTCTTTGCCCATTAAAGATTCCAGTGCTGAATATTCAAATGAAACTTTTTCCTGCACTGTGTACTGTGGCAGGGACCGTATTTTCCTGTACAAATTACTTCCGTGTAATCTTCACAGGTGGTGTTGGCAAAAATGGATCAACGATAGCAGTGAGTATATCCTAAGATTTTCAGCAATTTCCAACAGAGACTTGATTTCATGGTCACTTCTTTTTTTCATTTGGAAGGTATAAAATTATTTGTTAGTTTAGAATTTCCAATTATTTTTTTAGATCTAAAATTGCTCAGTATACATATTCATACATAGTTTGTTTTTTTTGGGTCCGGTCATGGGGCCTGTACTCTGGGCCTGAGCACTGTCCCTCAGCTCTTCAGCTCAAGGCTAGCGCTCTACCACTTGAGCCACAGCGCCACTTCCGGCTTTTTTTCTTTTTGCTTTTGTGGTGCTGAGGAATCGAACCCAGGGCCTCAGGCATGCAAGGCAAGTGCTCTACCACTGAGCCAACTTCCCAGCCCCCATACATAGTTTTTTGTTGTTGTTTTTTTTGGTCGGTCATAGGGGCTGAATTCTGGGCCTGGCACTGTCCCTCAGCTCTTCAGCTCAAGGCTAGGGCCCTACCACTTGAGCCACAGTGCCGCTTCCAGCTTTTTTCTGCTTATGTGGTGCTGAGGAATAGAACCCAGGGCCTCATGCATGTGAGGCAAGCACTCTACCACTGAGCCACCTTCCCAGCCCCTCATATATGCTTTTATATGCTTATATAGGCATATTTTGTGCATGAGCACAAACATATACATACATCTATATGTATGTGCCTTGCAAAGTAATCACCTAGTGTGTAAAAGATAAGGATGACTCTATCAAGTGAAATCCTCAGTTTCTGCCTAGCCATTTCATACCACTGCTTTTCATTAGCTATTCTTAGGTACAGTTCATAGTTGGCAGACACCATAGGGGTTCTGGAAATTTGGGGATGCAGCTTGATGTGGTGGCCCATTCCTGTAAACCCAGCTATACAAGTATAGGTAGGGGATTATGGTCTGAGGCCAGTATTGGGCAAAAAGCACGAGACCCAACCTGAAAAGTGACTATGAAAGCAAAATAAGAACAAGAGTGTTCCTTAGATAGGTTTGAGTATCTAGCAAGCATGAGGCCCCGACTTCAAACCCCAGTAACACCAACACCCCCCAAAAAAGTTTAATGCCAGCCTAACCTAGGTAATATCTCAAAAGAAGCAAAAACCTTGGTTGGAATGTGTTATTATTTAGTCAGGTGGTGTATCTGACAAGTACTGAATGCTGTTAACTCTTTACTCTGTACAGGGGACAAGTGTTCTTTCTCCCTTTCTCCATATTGGATCAGTGATTACGCTAGCTGTAATGATCTACAAGAAATCAGCAGTTCAGCTTTTTGAAAAGCATCCTTGTCTTTATATACTGACATTTGGTTTTGTATCAGCTAAAATCACTAATAAGCTTGTGGTAAGCACACCAATTTTTGTTTTAATATTCTTCTTAGTTTTGTTTTATGGACCTTGTTTTCATTTTGTGACTTCCCCAGCAAAGTTTGCAACAAAAGTTTCTTAGCAACAGCCAGGTGCTAGTGGGTCATGCCTGTAATTCTAGCTACTTAGTAGACTGAGATCTGACTATTGCAGTTCAAAGCCAGCCCAGATTGGAAGAGTCTCCTGGAAAGCCCATGAGACTATTTAATCTCCAATTAACCACCAAAAAGTTGAAAATGGAGATATGATGCAAGTGGTAGAGTACTAGCTTTAAGGACAAAAGCTTAAGGAAGTACCCAAGCCCTGAGTTTAAGGCTTAAGCCCCAGGATAAGCACATACAACTTTCTGGGTGTCAGCATGTGAGCTATTTTTATCCTTGTGAATTTACAATTAAGTTTGCCTAAGTTGTTTGAACTTGTGTAACCTTTCTCCGTTCTGTCCACTAATAAATTTAATGCTCATTTTATCTGTACTTATCAGTCTTAGCCTGAATGCTCACATTGTCTCCTTGTAATAAATAAATAAACAAGCTTAGTTGATAATAGATCTCTTTTTCTATGCCACAATTTGGTTTTGTTTTTAGTTTTGGGAATTTAGCCATTGCTAAATAACTCCTGAAACTTTGATATCTGAGCATAGTACTGATTTACTGTTACTTGCAGTAGCTCTGACATGAAAATGCCTGCTTCATAGATTCTGTTCTGTTTATAGGTTGCACACATGACAAAAAGTGAAATGCATTTGCATGACACAGCCTTCATAGGTCCAGCACTTTTGTTTCTGGACCAGTATTTTAACAGCTTCATTGATGAATATATTGTACTTTGGATTGCTCTGGTAGGTATTGTACTATGTTTTATTTTAACATTTGGAAGCTGCTAATTTTCTGGTTTTAATGGGCCAGGCCTCTGAAAGCTAGTAGAATTATAATATCTAAAAATATCAGTAATCCATATATATGAGCTGCTGGGAATGTTCTTTGTAACTTGGTATTTTAGCCTTTTTTTTTTTTTGCATTGTTCTTGCTAATGTTACCTAAATGATGGCTCACAAATTCCAAATTTCAAGATTATTTAAAACATTCAAACTACATGGACCCACAGCCTGTTTACCTAGCCATGGCCATCCATTTATGTATTGTCTGTGACTGCTTTCTTGCATTATGGCTGAGTTGAGCCATTTTGACAGGCAATAAGACCTGCAAAACTTAAAATATTTTGCTCTCTAAGAGTTGTTGTATTTTACTGTCTAAGAGTTATTGACAGCCGGGCACCAGTGGCTCACATCTATAATCCTAGCTATTCAAGAGGCTGAGATCTGAAGATCACAGTTCAAAGCCAGCCCGAGCAGGAAAGCCCGTGAGCCTCTTATCTCCAATTAATCACCAGAAAACCAGAAGTGGCTCATGTGGTAGAGCTTGCACTCTGGGCCCATGACTGACAAAAAGACAAAAAAAAAAAAGTGTTGTTGATAAATCAGGAGGAATTTTGAGTTATTTATTAGTACAAAACTGAAGGTGACTCTGGAAGAAAATCAGAGATCACCCCTCTGTCCTTTCTGGAAGCTTAAGGAGGTCCTGAGCAGATGCTGAGAATCTCACCATCTCTTTTTTTCTCTCTAGGTCTTCTCTTTCTTTGATTTGATCCGCTACTGTGTCAGTGTGTGCAATCAGATTGCATCTCACCTGCACATACATGTCTTCAGAATCAAGGTCTCTACAGCTCATTCTAATCATCATTAATGATGTAGCTGGTGTTGAATAGAAATTCATACTTTCTACAGGAAAGAATCTATATTAAGAATGGGGGTGGATAAAAACAAATCTAATTTATAATCAATGTCATATAACTCTTATTCTTTGTTGTTGGTAACACTCCCTTATCTCTCCTGTGTGAGAATGGGAATTTCAGTCTCATCCTATAAATTGTACATGTTGTCAAGCAGAGTTTGCCCCAAGAAAGCATGCAGGGAAAAAAAATGCCATGTGTTTGTGATTTTCCTGGATTCAGAATAATATTACCATAAGGAGCAGATCCCCAGTGGTGGAAATTTCTACTGTAGAATATTTGCAGGTCTCAATATGGTTGCTTATTTTTTAATTTTAACAAATCATCATCTTTAAGTAACATCTTTGTTTTCTTGCTGTCTCAAGCTTTTTTTAGTAAGGAGCTCAGCTATGAAAGATACATGCTACTAGGTTGTGAAGTGAAATGAGTAATACAAATCTCGAACATGGATTGAAAGGTTTACAATATTGAGGGTGTAATTTTTTTATTGCTCAAGAAATGATATCTCTTGTGGGCGTGGGAAATCCTGTCAGCATGCAGAATAATGTGGTTAACTTTTGTCGATCCATTTTATTTTTTTAAATAAATATATGATCTAAAAGCCAGTTTTTTTCTCTCAGTTTTATTCAGTGGAACAATGCACTAAATTCTATGTCATTTTTTAAAAATATTTAAGCAAAATAGTTGTTCTTTAACGAACAAGCAAAGTTTGTCGGTGATTTGTCATATGTCCAATGACCTGTCTGGTAGAAATTGTTTAAAAAGGAAAACCAAGTTCCTTTTCTCCTGAAGTCATTATCTGATGTCAGTCATTTGGGCAATCACACCTTTCCCCCACTTCTTCAGTAATTTCCTGGGCCTTTCCAGAGGGTCACTTTATACTCTCCTAGCACTCTGCTTTTTGGAACTTTATAGTTTAAAATAGGAATCCACTGTCCTCCTTTAACTAGATCTGTTTCCATTGTTTACAACTTGAATGAATAGATAGCAGAAAAGTTTAGGGCTAAAATAAGGTACCTTATTATTGGCTTCTATTTGTACCTTGTTCTTTCATTAAGAATAAACCCTGGTGTCAACTACTTGCCTAATAGCCAGACTTGTGCTCTCTGGTACTTTTTTTTTTTTTCAGTCACTCCTGGGACTGTTAAAGTTTAGCATTACACCACTTGAACCACACAGCTCCACTTCCAGCGTGCATGCCTGCGTGCGTGCGTGCGTGTGTGTGTGTGTGTGTGTGTGTGTGTGTGTGTGTGTGTGTGTGTAAATTGGAGATAATAGTTTCACAGACTTTTCCGCCCAAGCTGGCTTTGAACTGTGATCCTCAGAGCTCAGCCTCCTGAGTATCTAAGGATTGCAAGTGTGAGGCACCAGCATCTGGCTCTCTTGCAGTAAAGCTTTCCACAATTCATTGCAGATCTAGATTGACAATGAGACATAAGCATTCAATTTCTTTGCTAGATCATAGCAGGAAAGGAAATCAATCTCTCACTGGCTTTGCTTGCTAGCAAATTCTTCAGCATCTGGGATAGAGAAATACACTAGAAAGTACCAAGGCAAAGAAGGACAGTTAATTTTTTGTTAGTATTGATATGTCTCTTGTCTTGTTTGATTATTTCAATAAATACAACAGGTGTTAATTACCTGGAAATTGAGGAATTTGGGGAAATTAAGGTCTGAAGAGGCTGAATACCAGTGTCACATATACTGATGTTTTTTTCAGAATGGAGCCCAAAATCCTGTCTGCTGAGTTTTAATCCATTGCTTTCTGCCACACAATACTAGGCTTTCATGAATTGAAGTTATAAACCGAGTTGTTAGGGTAATTGAAATGTGTGTTCTAGAATTTATTAGCATAAAAGGAATCTGAAAAACACCCAAGTATTCATTATATCCTTCCATTAGCCTTAGATAGCAGCAGCAGCAGATCAAAAGTACATTTATGGAAGACCTCCACCAACCCTGATTCTTCATTTACCTAGCCAACCATCAAAGTCACCCAAAGACACTTTTAGGAAATACGGATTTCCCAAGCTTGGCTTCGTGCTGCAGCTAATTAGGTGGAAGTTGGAGGCTCACACCTATAATCCTAGCTACTCAGAAGGCCCAGATCTGAGGATTGCAGTTTAAAGCCAACCCAGGCAAAAAAGTCTGAAATTCTTATTATTAACAAGCAAAAAGTGAGAAGTAGGGATGGGGCTCAAGTGGCAGAGTGCCAGCCTTGAGTGAAAAAGCTAAGAACGAATATAAAGCCCTGGGCTGGGAAGTTGGCTCGGTGGTAGAGTGCTTGCCTCGCATGCATGAGGCCCTGGGTTCGATTCCTCAACACCACATAAGCAGAAAAAATCTGGAAGTGGTGCTGTGGCTCAAGTGGTAGAGTGCCAGCCTTGAGCTGAAGGACAGCACCCAGGCCCAAAGTTCAGCCCCCATGACCAACAATATATATATATATATATATAAAGCCCTGAGTTCAAGTCCTAATAATCACACACACACACACACACACACACACGGAATAAGATGCCTCAGAACCTTTCCATCGGCTGGGAAGGTAGCTCAGTGGTAGAGCGCTTGCCTTGCATGCCGGAAGTGGCGCTGTGGCTCAAGTGTTAGAGCTCTAGCCTTGAGCTGAAGAGCTGAGGGACAGCGCCCAGGCCCAGAGTTCAGGCCCCACGACCGGAACCAAAAAAAAAAACAAACGTTTCCATCTCTTACAATGTTTAAACAGTTTGTCAGTAGTTATATAGGGGGGCAGGAGAATTAGGTGACCTCTAAATTCCTTCAGAGTTTTAACATTGTGATTCCTGTTGTCTCAGAATTTGTTGATACAAATGTGTTTAGCTAAAAGGGTTCTCAAAATCCAAGCAGTTGGACATGGAAGGTAGAAGACTAAAAGGACTAGTCCAGACTTAAGTTGTGGACAGGCCAGCCTATTTATAGAAGCCATGCAGTCTTACTATAGTCATGTAGGCTCTGAGGACTGAGATTCTTGCCCTCACACTACCCTAGGCTGCAGTTGCCTCTTTCCAGCTAGCAGCCTCTCCCCCCTAGATTGAGGATATTCCATGTGACTAGCGCTGATTGCACTCTGTGTTGTTACTGGCCCCTATGGTCCTGTGAGCTCAATCAGCATGCCATGACCAGATCCTCCACTTATAGCTCAGTTTATTTAAATGTATTGCCTCAGATATTGACACACATACATGTAAACAATAAAATTTTCATCTTTATTATCACCTTGAATGTCTATGGCTTTTGAAGCCTTTGGGCTCCAACAGCTTTTTCTGTTGAGAATTTCTTAATAGTGGTTCCTAGGAGATGGCAGTTGTAGCAGCTTCTAACCAAGCACCTACAACACCTGCACTACTGTTTCTCACTGTCACCTCTGCAAAAATAAAAAATAAAGCAGCTTTAGTCCAGTTTTGTGAACTTGAGGTCAGGCCTTCAAAGTCCTTCCAAAGCTGTCAACAAAGATCCCAAAATACACACCAGGTTCCAGCAAGAACTGGTCACCAGGACTCGGAAGGAGGCTGTGGGTTCTGGGGCTGAGAGCTCCACCATCCTACCACACTGGCAGTGCCAAAGTGCTGAACAAGCCTGCGGGTCTAGCTTGTCTTCCTCCCCATCGCTGTTATTTCACAGTCTTTTCCCTGGGTTTCTTCTGTTTCTTTCGTTCTTCATATTCAAGTATTTTCTGTTGGAAATAACCTGTGGGTTGAAATACATGTTTGAGGCATCTTGCCTAGTCAAACAGAATGTGATGACCTAAGAAATAAGAATCAGAAATAGAGCCGGGAGCTGGTGGCTCACGCCTGTAATCCTAGCTACTCGGGAGGCTGAGATCTGAGGATCACGGTTCAGAGCCAGCCTGGGCAGGAAAGTCCGTGAAACTCTTATCTCCAATAAACCACCGGAAAACCAGAAGTGGCGCTGTGGCTCAAGTGGTGGAGCTTGTGCCTTGAGCTGAAGAGCACAGGGACAGGGACAAGCCTCACGACCAACCCCCATAAAAAAGAAGAAAATCAGAAAAGGGCTGGGAAGGTGGCTCAGTGGTAGAATGCATGCATGAGGCCCTGGGTTCAATTCCTTAGCACCACATAAGCAGAAAAAGCTGGAAGTGGTGCCGTGGCTCACGTGGTGGAGCGCTAGCCTTGAGCTGAAGAGGGACAACACCCAGCCCAGAGTTAAAGCCCCACGACCGACAAAAACAAAAACAGAAACAGACTGTCTACACCCATGTCCCATGTGCCCTCCCATTTGCACACAGTTCCAACCCTACGAGGGTCGCCAGGCTCTCTCTGGCCTAAAAAAAGGCACACAAATGGGGCAATTAGCTGTTATTAGATCTAAAGTAAAGCAAATCGTCCTGGTGGACATTGACTTTTACACAACGTATATGAGGCATTTTCTTAGGTTTCAGGTTAGTTGTAGGTCTCTGGAGAAAAGCCGGGCTTTGTCCTAAAGAGGACCCTCTCTGGCATATGATGGGGACTGTCACTGTACCTGCAGGAGGATGCCTGCTCTTCTCAGCTTCCTGAATGAAAAGAGAGAAGAGCTGAGTCTTCACAAACTTCTTCACAAATCGCCGGTTTGTCTTGGAATTCAGAGCCTTATAGAAGGCCCGTTCTTGGAAGTGGCCTTGCCCATTGGTCTCCCGCTTGATATAGGAAGCATAGTGACCAACAGTTTTGACAAAAAACTGCACAAAAGGGCCTGAAACATGTTCGTTGATTTGTTCTGAAGCTACAGGAAACACAGAAAGGCCATCTCAGAGTCACAGAAGGATAAATTACCCAAACTAGCCTCCAAGAACAGCTTCCATTCCAGGTCAGAAACACGAGAAAGCATTGGGAAGGGCTCACAACTGATTGGCTAATTAGAATGGGAGTCTGGGTGTGGGTACTTGGCGACTGTTAGGAAAAATAAAATGTCATATTCAGGATCTAGGATTCTTTTGAATGAATTCACTTGAGTTAAAGGGAATGGTTGGGCCAACATTATTGGCTCATACCTGTAATCGTAGCTACTCAGAAGGCAGGGATCTGAGGATCATGGATCCAAGCCAACACAGGCAGGCAAGTCTGTGAGCTTACCTCTTGAATTAACCAGCAAAAATAAGGTAGAAGTAGAGGTGTGGCTCAAGTGGTAGAGTACCAGCCTTGAGCGGAAAAATCCAAGGGAGAGCACAGAGCCCTGACTTCAAGTCCTAGTACTGGGGGGAAAGATGGTGTGGGAGGAGGATTGGGAACCATGCCCTTAAATCACCTTGGAGAAATCCAAAGTAGGAGAGGCCTATGACTTACTCTTTAACTCATTGATCCCCTGGCCAAGAGAGGCTAAGATGTCATCCTGAAGCTTCGGCGGTAAGATGTCTTTTTCATCACCAACCTAGGAGAAGACAAGAGTCAGCTCAGAGATCATGCAGTTGGAGAGGAGAGCAGAAAAGCATGAAGCAGTGGCTACAGGCATGGTTGAAGTGGTAAAGCTCTTAACGAGCAAGTTCAAATCTTAGTACTGCCCAAAAAATAGAACTTGAAGATAGCATGAATTCCACACCCCTACTTTATCACTAAACCACCATAAACCACAGCTCAAACTAGTTTGTTGCCTCCACTTTTCCTTGAAACATTAGCAAGAGATCATCTTAGTCCAGGTGCTAGTGGCTCACACCTGTAATCATAGCTACTCAGCAAGCTGAGATCGGAGGGTTTGAGGTTTGAAGCCAGCCCTAACAGAAAAGTCTGTAAGACTTCTCTCCAATGACCAGCAACGAGCTGGGAGTGGAGATGTAGCTCAAGTAGTAGAGTAAAAAACAATCTAAGCACTCAAAAGTTCAATCTTCAGTACTAGCACACATACACACATAAAAGTAGCCATTGACAATTTTCTTGTAAGGAAGGCTTCTTGGTCTTTGCCTGTGTCTTCCTTGAGAGAGAAGTTATATTAACACAAGTTAATAGTCTCATGGAACATGAGACTAAAGTAGGCCTGCAAGGGCTCTGAACCCACATACTTACCGACAATAAGAAGACTCCTTCACAAAGATCCACCAGCAGCACCTGAAGTAAACAGAACGGCATCACCTCTTCATAAATCTCAGCATTTCACAGACCATCCCCATTTCTGCCTATAGCTATGCCTTTGGGCCCAGGTAACAACAAAATCAGCACATTCAATTCTCATTTCCAGCTTGGCATTCCCCATCCCTCACCATTTTCCTAGAAACCTGAGTTCTCTTCCAGTCAAAGAGTATGTGTATTTGCACATGGAAAGGGGATGGGAAATTTCACTAAGGTAAAAGGGGAGTAATATGAGAAAATCATAGCCAGTCACCCCCTTGATCAGAGAAATTATTTCACTATTTGAACATCTAACACATAGCACACAAGGTAAAAACTGCATAATTTATCTCATTAATCCGGGCAACATTTCTGTGAGGTAATTGCTATCTACATTTGGCATAGGAGGAAACAATCTTCAAGAAGGTAAGTTGCAGCCTGGCAACAGTGACTCCCACCTGTTAACCTAATCATTCAGGAATCTGAAATCTGAGGATAATAGTTTGAAGCCAACCAAAGCAGAAAAGTCTGTGAGACTGCAATTAACTACCCAAAAAAGCTGCAAGTGGAGCTGTGGCTTAAATGGTTGAGTGTCAGCCCTGAGCAAAAAAGACAAGGCACAGCATCCAGGCCTGAGTTTAAGACTCAATACAAGCACCAGAAAAACAATAATAATAATAACTGTAAGTTGAAAACTGGTTAACTTTTATCAGCATTATACCAGTTTTCAAGCCTACATTGAGCTGTCCTTGGCATTGTGTTCTGCCCTCTACAACTCCCCTCTCAGCTCATCTCTGGTCTGCTCAAGGATCAAGACAGACATGTTTTGACCTCTTGGTGCTTGCACCAACTTTATGTACAATTAATTGCTGAGATTCTGTTGCAAATTGCTTCAGTGAGCCAGTGGTGGAGTGTGTGCTCAATATGCATGAGACCCTGGGTTCAATGGCTACACCAAAAAAACTATTCTCATGAAATAAGCCCCATCAGAAAGTTGGAGCTTTCCACAGGAAATTCAGTAAGGGAAGAAAATGAGCATCAACAAGAAGAGGAAGGAGACAGAATAAAGAGACATTTGTTTTGGGGAGACAAGTAGGAGAAGCCTGGGGTACCATCCTGACCTTAGAGCCTGTCATCAAAACCAGGAACTACAAACAACCAGAAGATCTGTTTCTTGGGTCCTCAGAATTGGATTAGTTCCCAATATTTATGTTGGAATCTTTTCTCTGAAATTTGGGTTTTCAGACTTTTCCTGAAACATCCTAAGTTCACACACCATTCCATATTTTATTTTATTTTTTGGTCGGTTGTGGGGCTTGAACTCTGGGCTTGGGCACTATCCCTCAGCTCTTCAGCTCAAGGAGAGTGCTCTACCCCTTGAGCCACAGCACCACTTCTGATTTTCTAGTGGCTTTTCTAGAGTCTCCTGGACTTTCCTTGTCCGAGATGGCTTTAAACCATAATCCTCAGATCTCAGCCTCCTGAGTAGCTAGGATTACAGGAGTGAGCACCGGTGCCCAGCCCATTCCACATTTTAAAGGGCAGCATTCCATCAGGAGCTGGTGGCTCACACCTGTAATCCTAACTACTCAGGAAACTGAAATCTAAGGATCGAGGTTCAAAGCCAGCCCTGGTAGACAAATCTGAGAAAATCTTATCTCCAATTAATCACAAAAGGCAGTAGTACAAGGGTGGCTCAAGTGGTTGAGTTCCAGCCTTGAGTGAAAAAGCCAAGTGAACGCACTAAATCCAAGCCAAAAACTCAAGAGTAGCATTCAGCCATTCCCTTTTAGGCAGGGGTATCACCACATGGGGTCACCAGTGTGCCACAATCCCCCAAATCCTGCGTTGGGCCTCTTTTTTTTCAATGTGTTACCTAAGTCTTTACAGGAGAGTGAAGAATCTCCTATATGTTCCCTTCTTCCAAAACAGCCTAGTGTCTCCTACTAGGCTGATGCAGGCCTCTTTAGTAGCTAGCCTTTCTGCCCTTCTAGCCCTCTCTGCATGGAAGAGAGAGTCTGAAAATATGCCAAAACAGCACACACTGCAATTATCCATCTTTGGAGAAAAGCTGAACTAGTTCAGGCCTGAAACCGCTTGTATACATAGGCTCAGATGCTTTCGTGAAAGAAAGGCTGCTCATCTAGGGGGCTGGGAGGAATGATTGCACATGAAGAATTTTTTTTTTTCAAAGTTGCTCCCAAAAGTCTTCTTTGGGCATATTATGGTCTATGGAGTAATGTCTGTCCAAGAGCTTATAAGTAGAGTCAAGAGATTCTCTTCCCCCACCCCAACCCCAGTCACTCTGCCCAAATGACCCTCCTCCATTCTCACCTCCTGTCTGCTTCTCAGAGTAGCTGCTTAAGAGCAAAGTAAGCCAAGGCTTTGAAACAGCATGAACCAGAGTCTTTCTACCTTCCCCCGCTCTGACCATTGAGGGAGGGCCCCAACTTCCGAGGAACTGGAGGTTCAGGAAGTTTCGTAACTTTGGGGGTTGGGACATTTGAAGTTTAATTGCTAAACAGAAAGCTAATACTCTGGCCCAGTTAGTCACAGTGCTAAGGGCAGTTCAAAGGGCGTGTGTATTCAAGTCAGCAGCTGCAGGGAAGGGTGAGCGAGCTAGGGGAGCAAAGAAGGGCCATTCAGCCTGCCTCCCTGGCCCAGCAATACCTCCTGCAGGACTTTTCAACTTTGTACTTGGTTCTACGTGGCCTGTGTGGACTTCTGCTAAGGAAAGTGGATTCTCTGGAGTTCAACTATGTCTTGTATAAAATGGAGTGTCTCCCACTAGGCTGATGGAGGCCTCTTTAGTAGCTAGCCTTTCTGCCCTTCTAGCCTTCTCTGCATGGAATGAAATGGTGATTAGCCAGGGCCAACAGCCCAAGTAGCTCTCCTGCCTTCAGACATCAAAACATGCTAGCCTATTGATCCTACAACAATTGAAAGCACAGCACATGTTTCATGTTGTTCTTCTACACGGGAGATAGATTTCTCTAACAGTCATTTTCACACTGAATCCCTGTTCTGGGTCAGGGTCACAGACAAGAAATAAAGACAGGCTGGGTGCTTGTGGCTCATGCCTGTCAATCCTAGCTACTCAGGAAGATTTCAGTTCAAAGCCCCAGTCCAGGCAAAAAAGTCCATGAGACTCCATCTCTAATTAACTTGAAAAAATTTGGGCTAGAGGTGCAGCTCAGAGAGTAAAGTACCAACCATAAGCCAGCAAGCAGGGGGAGCACAAGGCTCTGAATTAAACCCCCAGTACCAACACAGAAGAAAAGGGGGCAAGGAGGAAAGGAGGAGGGAGAAAAAGAAGAAATAGAAAAAGGTGGACACTGGTGGCTCAACCCTGCAAACCTAGCTACTCAGGAGACTGAGATATGAGAATAAAGGTTCAAAGCCAGCTTAGGCAGACAAATCCAAGAAACTTGTATCTCCAGTTAACCAGCAAAAAGCCTCAAGTGGAGATATGGCTCAAGTGCCAGCCTTGAACAAAAAAGCTGAGCAAGAGCACAAGGTCCTGAGTTCAAGCCCCAGTACTAACACACACACACACACACACACACACACACACACACACACATACACAACTTAAATCAATAATAAAGCTAACAAAATCAAAGAGGATTTGAATGGATTTGTATCTTCATTTGCTTTGAGCTACTCAAAGAAATGGCACTTTATTACAAGAATCAATTTTTTTTTGGGGGGGGGGTTCCGGTCATGGGACCTGAACTCTCGTCCTGGGTTCTGTCCCTCAGCTCTTCAGCTCAAGGCTAACGCTCTACCACTTGAGCCTCAGCGCCACTTCCGGCTTTTTTCTTTTTGCTTATATGGTGCTGAGGAATCAAACCCTGGGCCTCATGCATGCAAGGCAAGCGCGCTACCAGTGAGCCACCTTCCCAGCCCAGGAATCAACTTTTTTTTTTTTGGGGGGGAGGGGGGGGTCCGGTCCTGGGGCCTGAACTCTGGGCCTGGGCACTGTCCCTCAGCTCTTCAGCTCAAGGCTAGGGCTCTACCACTTGAGCCACAGCGCCACTTCCGGCTTTTTTTCTTTTTGCTTATGTGGTGCTGAGGAACGGAACCCAGGGCCTCAGGCCTGCAAGGCAAGCGCTCTACCACTGAGCCACCTTCCCAGCCCTACATTTTTTAAGACTCATTGTTTGCAGGACAGCTCACTTCCAAGTAATCTGAACAGACTCCAAGGTGTGTGTGCGGTACAGACCAGCTATGGTCATCCACTCGGTTGGGAGATGAGATGCCTCCAGAGACTGCTCACTACAGCAGACTGGTGTAGGAGCCTCAGGATCCCTGAATATATCACATACTGCCCAAAGAGAAATCATCCCAGAGAAGAGAGCCCGTACTCTATGGATGTGTCAGGCCCCAGCAACTGAACACTTAGCTCCATCGTATAGACGTGGAATCTCGAGGCTTAAAGAGATGAAGTAACTTGCCCCAAATCAAACAGCTGTTAGCAGCAGAGCTGGGGTCCAGATCTAGGTCTGCCTGGCTCCAAATCCACGCACTCTTCTTGCTGCAGCATACCTCTTCCATGGGGCTGTCCATCACCTCCTGCCGGAAGCGCATTTGTACTCCAACCATGAAGGGGGTAGGGCAGCAGACAGTGGCCAGAAGACTCTCTGGGACGACAGGGATGTAGGTGTGTGCCCAGCTGAAGGGGTAGAGCAGCGCAGCAGCAGCATGGATGCACTGAGACAGAGTGCTGGAGCACAGAGCACAGAAGATGAGAGTCAGAGGGGTTCCCAAGCCTCCTCCCTTGACTCCCCCTCACAGCCCAATACATATAGCAGCCCTTGACAGTGCAACCTGTGCTGGTGTAGAAAGGCAAGTCTGAGAGCCATGGTGGTTACAGAACTTGTAGCTACTTGTTGTCAGGAGGGGAAGGGCAGACAGAGTGAGCCCTGGCTCTGCTCACCAGGGTGGAGCTTCCTTTCATCTCTTTGCCCAGTTACTCTCCTCATTTCTAATCCAAAATAGAAATAGCTCAGAAGAAGAGAGGAAGAAGAGATGTCTTCATTCGAGCAGAGAAATGATTGGGACTCTCTGATGTGAGGACATCAGAGGACATGGCTACTGGGAAAGGGTAAGACTCTGGCCCTGCTTTTAAGGAACTCACAGAGTAGGAACAGTCATGACCACAGAGAGACAAAGCTTTATCTCCTGTGTGCCTATCTACCCTCAACCCCATGTGACCTCACATGATTCTCTTGGGACCATTTGAGGTTATTGAAAGCTACCAAGTCAACGCCTTAGTTAACTTGGGAAATTCCTAGGTTCCAGAAACCTCTGTGCAAGGATTCCTTCATGGAAAGTCCCACAGAGGTGGCCACTCTAGACTTGGCTACAAAACATTCTTCACAGTCATCACTTAGTTCCTTAAACAGATAGATAGATAGATAGATAGATAGATAGATAGATAGATAGATAGATAGATAGATCAGAGAGAGAGAAAACACCAATTTCTGCCTTCTCTATTCTCTGCTAGCTTTCATGGCTCTTCATTTTTCCAGCCAAATTGTACCTCACTGAGGCCAATGAAAACAGAGATGCGGAAACCTAGGTTCCGATTCTTGGTACCAAGCTAGCACTTCCTGTATCAGAAAGACTAAGTCTCTGAAGGTCTAGTTAAATCCCTGGCTGACTGGAAGTCCCCTCCCAGCATGAGCCTCAGAATCTGAAAAATCTTTGTAGGAAGGAAGTCGGGAGTGAGGATATTTTCCTGGAGGTACATCCTCTAATCTTCTTCCCAAACGCTGATGTGAGGGAAAAGGCCGGAGCCTGAGGCCTGACCACCACAGAAAACCCCTGCTTCCATACAGGGCTGGAAGTGGACAAGCTATTTCCAAAGCACAAGATGATACCTCTTCACACAGGGATGAGCCTATATGACTCATTCTGTTGTGGTTATCACTGCTTTTCTTCCAATTTTCAATGCACAGACCCTAATCCCTACCAAAGCTTCTTTTCCTCTGGAGCCTAAAACATTCATCTCTCCTCTACCTCTGGCATTTCCCTAACTACCTTTTCCTTTTCCTTTTTCATTTTCTGTGTAGGTGCTGGGGCTTGAACTAAGGACCAGGCTGCTCTCCCTTAGCGTTTTCACTCAAGGCTGACACTCTACCACTTGAGCCACATCTCCACTTCTGGCTTTTTTCTCCTGGTTAACTGGAGAGTAGAGTCTCACAGATTTCTCTGCCAGGACTGGCTTCAAACCTTGATCCTCAGATCTCAGTTCCCTGATTAGTCTGGCTCCCTAATTTCCTTTTCTTTCCTAAAGGTTAAAAGGTTGTCAGCTCAACATCGTTGGTTCTTCCCATCCCTAATATAAAGTCATGATCATGTCCTGCTTCAAATGTACTCCACTGTGAACTTAGTAGGAATAGCAGCTAGGACTTAATCATGTGTACCTGGTAGGATACTAGCCACCTAATCTCCAGACCTTAATGAGATAGGTAAAATAATTTCCATTCTACAGATCAGATCATGACTTTCAGAAGTTAAGTAACTGCTGGGGACTAGTGGCTCACATCTGTAATCCTAGCTACTCAGAGGCTGACATCTGAAGATCTGAAGATCTGAAGCCAGTCTGGGCAGAAAAGTCTATGAGCCTCTTATCTCATTTACCAGCAAAAATCCAGAAGTGGCTCAAGTGGTAGAGATCCAGCTTTGAGTGGAAAAAGCCAAGTGAGAGCAATACCCCCTGAGTTCAAACCTCAGTATGAGCACCAAAAAAAAAAAAAGAGGAGGAGGAGGAGGAAGAGGAGGTAGAGGAAGTAGAGGAGGAGAAAGCAAAAGAGAAAGAGAAGGGAGAAGAGAAGAGGAAGAAGGAAGAGGAGAAGGAGGAGGAGAAGGAGGAGGAGGATTTGAAACTCCTGTTGATTTTAATCAATACCTATGCTTTTCACCTCTACACAATCCTGCTCCCCATTAAGGTCAAGGAGCTTATTGGTATCTTTCCAATGCTTGGCATCTGGCAGTTGACACATAATAAATGTTTGCTGAATGAGCGAATAAATGCATAGATGGGCTTACCCTCCATTATCTGTCTTCAAGTCTTGGTCTCCACCCTCTTCCCGCCCTCAGCTTTGCTTCGACAGAATGAGCTCGCATCCACCCTACCCTGACCCACCTGGCTGCCCAAGGGATAGTTTGTCCTTCTCAGAGCTACTACTGGAAGCTTCCTCAGGTTTAGGCAGCAATCAAGTTCAGAAAGAGGGGCAAGGTAGTTATAAGAACTGCTTCTCTAGGCCTAAAGTATAGCTACAGGAACTGGAAACAAGAGGGTAGGCATCCAGGTCCTTCAGTCTGACATCCTTGAGAACATCCAGCCTGCTCCCTTGAGCCCAGAGATACAGATCGAGCTGGCCATTCAGTAGTGGGCCCACCTGAGACCTTCTGCCAGGAAGATGATTTTTCTCTCCAGCACAGCAGAAGCGAAGATCTGAATAATCTGCTCAAAACTGAGGCAGTCCAACAGAGAACTAAAATCCACATGTTCAAGGTGGGAATCCAGGGGCCGAGTCAGTGAGATGAACTGTAGGAAACCAGGAGGTCATCACAATGCAAGATCACACAAACCCCAAAATTCAGGGCCTGGGTGAGCCCTACTCATTCTCCCCACAGAAGAGCCTAGCTCCCACGCTGAAAACTTACCAGTGGCTTTCCTCTGCTTTCATTTCTCTCTTCCTTCCTCCCTCCCTCCTTCCCTCCCTCCTTTCCTCCCTTCCTTCCTTCCTTCCTTCCTTCCTTCCTTCCTTCCTTCCTTCCTTCCTTCTCTTTCTCTTTCTTTCTCTCTCTCTCCCTCTGTGTGTATGTGTGTGTGTGTGTGTGTGAGAGAGAGAGAGAGATGTGGTGTGGTAGTGTGGTGTGTGTGCACCAGAACTGAGAACTAAGACTTTAACTCAGGGCCTCAAGCTTTCTCTTGGCTGTTTTGTGCAAGATCGGTGCTCTACCACTTTACTACCAGCTTTTTGCTGGTAAATTGGAGATGAGAGTCTACAGACTTTTCTGTCCAAGATGGCTTTAAACTGTTTTCCTCAGATCTCAGCCTCCTGAGTAGATAGGATTGCAGGTGTGAGCCAACTGGCAGTTGGCTAGTACTTTTCTCTACTGAGAGGATGGCACAGTATAATGTTTAACATGAGGTCTTCATGTCTTGAGCATACTCCTCTCCCTCAGTGAGTTTCTGCTCTTGAGCAAAGGCTATTTGCCTGAAGGTCTCATAGGTTGGGCTTTCCTCCTCTGCTCTCCTGTCTCATTCCATCCTCTTTCAGGCCTCACAGGCCTCCCTTAGTCATCTAATACTTGCTGGTCTTTTCCTCATGGAGTGCCATGGTTTTGATTTCATCATAATGTACTTAGTTTTAATTACCTATTTATTGACATGCTTATTTATTTCATGTATCTTTCCTCATCAAACATTTAGCTCCAAGAGGTCAGGGTTCCTTATGAATACCACTGTGTACGCAGAAAATAGTACTACTTAGCAAACAGCAAAGCATTTTGTACTTCTTTTGTCCTGTTAATGAAAAATTCTAGCCACTTTTCTATTTCTTTGTGGAAAAGCCAAGGCTTGGAGGTGCAAAAGGACTCTCCACAATTCCCAGGGGGTTGAGGCTAAAGTTCTAAACAACAACATTCTTCTCCTTGCTGCTACAGTCTGTCTGTGACTTAAAACCATACCAAACCATGTAACATGGGTGGGGCTTGGGACGGGGGACAGGCGATAAGAAGCAGACAGATGGAGGACGTGAGGTAAGTACATGGGACAGATGTACACAATAAGGTGTGGGGCCAAGTGGCAGTTTGGAGGCTGGGAGCAAAGTCCCTTACAGCACCCAAACCTCAATATGCATGGTATATTCATCACAACAAAAGACTCAGTGGCTGGGCATTGGATGCTGTAATCCTAGCTACTCCAGAGGCTGAAATCTAAAGATCGAGGTTTGAAGCCAGCCAGGCAGACAAATCCAAGAGATAGTTATCTTCAATTAACCTCCAATAATAATAATAATGATAATGATAATAATAATAATGGCCAGAAGTGGAGATGTGGATCATAGCATTAGTCTTGAGGAAAAAAAGCTTAGCGATAGTGCCCAGGACCTGATTCAAGTCTAACACTGCCACACACACATACACAAAAGTTTCAGTAGCCAGGCACCAGTGGCTCATACCTGTAACCTTGGCTACTCAGGAGGCTGAGATCTGAGGGTTACAGTTCCAAAGCCTGCCTGGGCAAGAAAGTCTATGAGACTCAACTCTAATTAACCTCCAAAAAAGCTGAAAATGGAACTGTGGCTCAGGTGTTAAACTGCTAGCCTTGAGCAATAAAGCACTAGAATAGCATCCAGGTCCTGAGTTCAAGCTCTAGGACTGGCACACACACACACACACACACACACACACACACACACACACACACACACACACACACACACACACACAAGCTTAAATGGACTAGTAAGTACTTAGTTGCTTAAGGGTATCAAATTAAGACACTCAGCAAATGTGTGTTTGATCTCAGCTCTGCCTAGAATTCTAATCAATTCCTAGTCCCCACCTGGCTTCGTTTCTCTGTCCTTTAACCTGATAAATGGAAGAACAGAGGTAAGAGGTGCCACAGTCAGGTGGAGAATGGGATCTCACCTATTTGTTAACCTACCTCTGTGCCTGAGTCAGGGATAAAGCTCTTGAGGGTAACAGTCTTTCCAGGCGCAGGGAAGGCAGCCTCTCGGAGGCCCTGCATGAACGGGTAGATGACGGCCATAGAGATCTGATGCCTCTTCTCCACTTCATCCAGGATCTGCAGGGAAAGGAGCATGGGAAGCCTGGTCCAGAGGATGCCCCTGAGCATCATGGGGCTCTCACACTGGTCTGGCTTATTTTCATGGATCTTCTGGGTCCCTTCACCAGCTAGTTATCCCTGACAGACACGGTCTCATGCCCAATAATCTGATTTCTCCATCCTGAACAAGATTTGCTTTTGCCTCACCTTCTGTTCATATTCCATATACAAATCCATGTCTCTCCCTTCTCACATACCAACATAAAACTACTGTCACCAGGAAGTCATTCCAGGGCAAAGTCATCATCCACAATGACACTGGCTGGAATAAGAGCCCGCAATGGTACCCTCTTGGGTGGTACTCTGTCCTCCAGCTCCCACTGGAGTCTCTCTAGGGCCAGAGACTACCTTTGGCCTTTAGGACAATACACAGATAAAAGCTCTGCCCAAGCAAAAGCTGACAGAATTCTTCTTCCAAGAGACCTGCCAAGGGGCAGTTCCTACCCACCAAGACAGGATGTGCCCCTTCTTTATCCTTTTTTTTTTTCTTGTACCAGTACTAGGGCTTGAACTCAGGGCCTTGCATTCTCACTTAGCCACTCAAAGTTGGCACTCTATCACTGTGGAGCCACAGCTCTACTTCTAACGTTTTACTGATTAACTGGGGATGAGTCTTTTGGGCTGTCTTCAAAGTGAAATCTTCACTCCTCAGCCTCCTGAATAGCTAGGATTACAGGTGTGAGCCACCAGTGCCCAGCATGCTCTACACCTCTCTTGGACCTCACAAAACAGCCCCAGAGCCTGGAAGGTGGTGATCATTAGGTCCATTTGACAGATGAGGAAACCAAATAACCTCAAAAGGCCTGAAGCCATTCTCCTTGACTGGCATCCAAGGCTTTCTTCCTTGAAGGAAATGGAAACAGTGGCTTTGGGGGTGGGGGAGGGTAAAGATGGACCTCTACAGTCACTTGAAATCAAGTAGATCAAAGCCCTCTCTCTTCTTCAGTCTGCCCACGTGCCCTGATGCTGACTGGGCTGTCAGGAAGCAGCTTCACTAAAGGCTCAGGTTGCACAGGTAGGGCCAGCAGCCAGACAGCGCTGGGAAGATGAACAGGCCCAACAGGCCCTGAGGAATCTTGTTCCACTCCTACCTTGGCAAACAAGCCGAAGGAGCCGGTGCAGCTGATGATGCAGTACACTTTGGGAAGGCGAGGACCAGGGCCTGTGGGCTACGGAGAAACAAGAGGATTCTTCAGGGCCACAGCCTCCCTAAGGGCTTCTCCCACCCAGGCTGACGGACACAGAGAAGGGTGGGGGTGAGGGTTAATGGCCAGATGCAGAAAGGGCCTGGCTGCGTAGAGGTTCCATTCATGGGAATGGCAGCAGGGAAGAAGATTGCCTTGAAGGGGCTGGGGTCCCAAAGGCAAACCCTCTTGCCTTCAGGGCCATTGTGATCTAAAGTTTAGGAAAGCGGAACAAGTGAGCTTAGAAATGAGAAAATGGCACTGTAAAGGTGCCTTGGAGAGCCCTCCAGAGACCCTAAAACCTCAAAGCAATTGTCTAAATCCCAGCCTCTACTTGGGAGGCTCCAGAAGCCCAAAGCAAGCAGGCCTGGATAGTGAAGATAGAGAGAACTCTCATGGAGTCTCTCACAAATGGACCTATTGAAAATGGGAGGGGGCACAGGTCAAAGCCTAGGGTACCAGGGGCAGGTGAGGAGGGGCCCTGTCTTGATTCTTGTGGGCTGGCAGAGGAGGCACTAACATGACAACAAGTGCAGGGCTGTACTCTCCCTACCACCACCACTGCTGGTGAGCCTGGGCTTTTGCAACTGAGACTTGAGCAAGCCCAGCTGTGGAGCTGAGAAGGCTACAGAGAGGAGAAGGCAGTTCTGAGCAGCACAGACCAAGAGGCGCCGGCAGTAGCCAATCTTCCTGCTCCCATCCACGTTGGTCAGGACAAAGGAGAAGGTCTCCCTAAGAAAGAGAAGAAAGTGCTTAGTTTGCGCACTAGATTTTGTAACAGGAAAGTAGTCAGTGTTAAGAAGACACAGGGGAGCTGTTTTTTAACCTGGTAGCAAGAACCCCGGTAATGTATGAGCGCATTCAGGGCAGTAAGCCCTCAAGGTATCATCTTACTTAAATCTCAAAACAATCTGTTAAGAGAGGTTCGATTATTACCCAAATTTTAAAAGGGAAGAAACAGAGGTTCTGGAATGGTCTTTTTTTTTTTCTTTTTTTGTACCTGTACTGGGTCTTAAACTCAAGGGTGCTGCTCCTTAGCTTTTTGGCTCAAGTCTGATGCTCTTATCACTCAAGCCTCAGCTCCATTTCCAGCATTTTTTTTTTGGTAGTTAATTGGAGATAAGAGTCTTTCCTGCCTTGATTGGCTTGGGGCCACAATTCTCAGCTATTAGTCTTTTAAGTAGCTATGAGAACTCATGTGACTCCCCAATGTTAGCTTGAAAAACCTCTCTCTCTCTCTCTCTCTCTCTCTCTCTCCCCTCTCTCTCTGGCTCTGGCTCTGGCTCTCTCTCTGGACCTGAGCTTGAGGCCTGGGCATTGTCCCTGAGCTTGTTAACTCAAGGCTCACTAGTGCTCCACCACTTGAGCCACAGTTCCACTTCTGCCTCTTTTTTTTTTTTTTTGGTGTTCAATTGGAGATGAGTGTACAGACTTTCTTGCCATAGCTGGCTCAAACTGCAATCCTCAGATCTCAGCCTTCAGGGTAGCTAGGATTATAGACTTGAGCCACCAGTGCCCAGTTCAGAGGGTATTTTTTATCCAAAGTCCACACATATGTGCTAAAGTCAGAATGTGAACTCAAGCAGTCAACTTCAAAGATTCCTGATATTATCTTCCTAGAGGTGCAAGGCCTTCTGCTGAGCCCAGCTTCTGCGGGTCAAAAGCATTGATTGTTGCTCTGGGGCAGGTGGGGGCGGGGATGGGGTGGAACATGACTGTGATCTGGCAATAGGTCAAAATGAAGCAAAGATCTTTGGCCTTAGCAACACATACTGGATGTGGTGGTGTATGCTTTTAATCCTAGTTATGCAGGTGGTCTGGGCAGAAGAATCCTGATCCCAGGCAGTTCACATTTTAAAAAGCTAGATGCTATCTAAAAAATAACTTTAAGTTTTAAAAAAAAGGGGGGGTAATCTAGTGGTGTGGCTCAAGCCACAAAGCACTTGCCTAGCAAGTATAAGTCTCTGAGTTCATATCCCAGTATGCACTCCATGGTCGGAAATCATCATGTACATGGGGTTAGGGAGCCACAGGAGCCACATGATGGCTCACACTTGCTCCTTCTCTTCCAATCTGACACCCGCGCCCCAAGGCTGAGTGTTACCTGGGATACTCGGTGAGTGGTGCCCACTCATTCCCATCTGGGAAACAGAACAAAGGGATGGCTTTGAGCAGTCGCTCTTCCTCCTCCTGCTGACCCCGAAGCAGGTTCTCTCGCTACAAGGAAAAGAGACAATGGATTGCTGGGGCATTAAAGAGGAACAGAAGCCTGATAGGGCTTCTTTTGAGGTAGTAAAACTATCAGAGGACAAACGTTGTCCATTGGCCAGGGGACCAAAGAATTCCTGGGCTCACTTCACACAAGTCTGCCTGGAATGGTCCCCTAAGACAAAACAGCTCCTTCTGGGCCACATCAAGATAAACTTGGGTAGACTTCCATATCTTCAGGATTTACAGAGGAAGGAAAGAGTTCAGGGGTTCCACTGATTACAGAGAGGCCCTATGGTGGCCCACGCCGTGGGAGGGTAACATCAGAGAGATACCACATCAGAGAAGAGAAACAGGCACTTCAGCTACTGCAGTTGCTAACGAGAGGAGTTAACAGGAAGATGCCCAATTCTCACCCTTTCACCCATTGCACGATCAAACACGAAGAAGTCTGATGCTTCGGTGATAGCTGAGCCCTGGGCCTGCCTGCTGGCTGGAGGCTGCCCCACCCTCTCCTTTCCCCAACAACCAGGGAGGAGATCAGGACAGGAGGTTTGACAGTAAGTAAGCTTCTCGGCAGAGAAAGGTGACTGAAGGAAGAATTTGGAAGAACAGGAGGCCCTAAAGGGGCAAGAACACACACCAACTTTCCCTGCTAGGGAGGCTCAGTCCGTCCATCACAAAGCAGACCTAGATTCCTTGGGTGATAGCAGAGCATGAGGTTCAGTCTACAAAAGAAATGAGAGCAGCAAGCTCAGAGCTCAAGCCCAGGCAGGTGGGGAGAGGAAGCATAAAATCCCATCACCTTTCAACACTTCTCCACGGTAAGTCCTTACCTTAGGAAACTGGTAGGTAATGGTGGGCTCATAGTCATCCCCTGAATGCTTTTTTTTCAGAGAAACCACTAGAAGGTATTCAAAGAAGTGCTGTCCCCCAGCAAAGCTGGATAGAGAATGGTCCTGGGTCCTTTCTGTTTCCTTGGTAGCTTCTCCTGCATTGTCCTGGGGGGTTCCTGAAACCGAGAAGCCAGGTTCCCTTCAGTATGTCATCCATCAGTCCACCTGGAGGCTTCTGGGTCAATCTGGGCAACTTCTCCCCCTCTCTCTTGCTCGTGCTGAGATGGCTGGAGCCAGTCCAGTACTGCCAGTTACCAGGGCCAAGTGGGCAGTTTCCACACCTGCCCTGGGAAACTGAAAACCATGGGAGAGCCAAGAGGAAGAAAGAAATCATAGACGTGGAAACTGAAAAAAGGTCCTAAAGAGGCCATGTGGCCACGTGCAGCTGGTACCATGGAATTTCGGCCCACCTGGCCAGTTCTGGAATGGTTTTCCAGGTGAATAAACTCATCTTAACTCATCAGAACATGCACACAGGCCCACAGGGCGAGAGGCTGTGAACACACCAGCCTCCACCCCCAACCTCCCAGAAGGAACAAGCAGCTCAACCCAGCAACCAGGCAAACCGAACCCAGACACGTGGGAGACCAATTGGCCTATAAATGAAAGAGGAAAAAGAAAAAAAAACAAAACCAAAGCCTATTTGAGAGGGTCACCATAAGATAAAGAGGAAGTGGGCAATCCAGTTCCTGACCTGCTCGGAGTCCAGGTAACCGGTTTCGGAAGAGCCTGAGGGCTTGGCCTACCCTCCGTCCTTCCATCTTCCTGTGCCTTTAGGAGCATGAAAGACTTTCCTTTTCACCCCCAGGCTGGCTACAAACAGCCTACGGAGGCTGCCGCTTCTGTCTCCAGCCACAACTCTGTGAAGCACAGCCACACTCTGTCTTCCAGAAAGGGTAGAGCAGTTTCCATCCTGGGCACTCCGTAATTGAGAAAGAAGGATATAACCAGGCCCAGCAGGCAACTGCACATATATAGTGATACTGACACAGCCAGCATCCTGGCAGTGCGGCTCAGCTCTCAGCTCCTCCCTACAGCCCCAGGGTGTGGTGAGACGAAAGGTCATAAGCAAACAGCAAACAGCGCTGAGGCTCAACTGCTTCTGGGCTCTGGGCTTTGAGTTCTGAGCTGTCAGTTTATTTACAATAAAGGCCCAATGGCATTGGACCTGTGGGTCAATCTCAGGACTAGGACCTTGCATCCTCAGGACTTAATGGGCAGCATTTCACTTCTCACCATAGTCAACAGAGCCTGAAAACCCCCACAAAGCCACCTGCCACATTCTAGAGACTCCAGGATTGCCAGATCTAAGAGCACAGGACAGAAAGAGGCTAGTCTTAGGAGAGAACCACAAAGGTGAAATGCCTAAGCACTTCTTCCAATTTATATAAAATAATATACATACTGAAATGAATTCCCAAGATATGGAAACAAAAGACTTTTGTTGTTGTTGTTTTGTTTTTGTTTTTCTTTTGTTGGTAGTGGGGCCTGAACTCGGGGCCTGGGCACTGTCCCTCAGCTCTTCAGCTCAAGGCTAGCGCTCTACCACTTGAGCCACAGCGCCACTTCTGGCTTCTTCTGCTCATGTGGTGCTGACGAATTGAACCCAGGGCCTTATGCATGCAAGGCAAGCGCTCTACCACTGAACCACCTTTCCAGCCCCACAAAAGACTTCTTTAAATTTGTTTTTTTCTTTTTCTGATGATTCTGTATTCTTTATATACAGTGTATTCACATGTGCATATGCAGGAGGATGGGCACAGAACTTGAAGAAAAAGGTTGGCAAAGTATAGCAGTGGAGCTCACTGGGCATTGCTGAAAGTGAACTATATAACTTGTGGGTGGAGATGGGAGGGAGGGAATGGGAAAGTGAGGGACCAGATGACACTGTATGAGAGGAAATGTACTTATTACCTGACTCATGTAAATGTTACCCTCTGTACATCATCTCTATAATGATGATGAAGTAAATTTTAAAACAAAACAAAAAAAAAAAAGTGAGGGGCTGGGAAGGTGGCTCAGTGGTAGAGTGCTTGCCTCCCATGCATGAGGCCCTGGGTTCCATTCCTCAGCACCACATATGCAGAATAAGTCAGAAGTGGTGCTGTGGCTCAAGTGGTAGAGTGCTAGCCTTGAACTGAAGAGCTGAGGGACAGTGCCCAGGCCCAGAGTTCAAGCACCACAACCAACAACAACAACAACAACAACAAAACAAGCACAGGACACATGGTTCATGCCTATTATTCTAGGTACTCAGGAGGCTGAGATCTAAGGATTGCAGAAAATTTGTGAGATTATCTCCAATTAATAGCCAAAAAGCCAGAAGTAGAGCTGTGGCTCAAGTGGCAGAGTACTACCTTGAGCAAAAAAGCTCAGGGACAGCATCCAGGCCCTGAGTTCAAGCCCTAGGACTGACACCAACCAACAAACCCTTCAGTCCATCAAAAGCACAGGACAGTGGCTCATGCCTGTAATCCTAGCTACTCAGAAGGCTGAGGTCTGAGGATCAGGGTTCCAAGCCAACCCCAGCAGGAAAGAACTGGAGATTTTGTCTGCAATTAACTATCAAAAAACCAGAAGTGGAGCTGTGACTCAAGTGGTAGGACACTAGCCTTGTGTGCAAAAGCTCAGGGACAGTGCCCAGGACAATGTTCAGATGGGTCCCAAGAACAAGAAGAGAAAAAGAAGAGTATAGATCCAAACACTCCCTGCCACTAAGGGGCCACGACCTTGCCCTAATAAAGGGAAATGCTTGGCCTCATAATTATCTAAATGGAAGAGGGGATCCTTGGAAGTCTGTATGGATTCCAAAGATTCTCTTCTGATAGAAGAGAATAAGCCTAGATCTGCGCTGAGAGTTGTAGATACTTCCAGAACAACTCCAATAACAACTCTCTTTCTCTCCTGTGGCATTTCCTGGGCTAAAGCAGATACTGGGGCTGTCCCAGGGTCCAGCAGCTTCCCTCTTTCCAAATAGGAAACAGTGACTCAGGAACTTATCCCAGCATAAAGTTGGGCACTGGCTGCATTAACTGCCAGAAGTCACTCAGCAGCAGTGCAAAGCATCCGGGTGATGGCCACCCCACTCCCCCTCCTGCTCTAACTTTCTCCTTGTTGAGCCAGGTCAGCAAGTTGAAATGCATTGTCTGGAGCCTGAAAAAGAGAGAAAAGATAGTACTAAACCATCTAGTATCCCTACAGAAACCTTTGTTCTGCTGAGGCAGGGTCTCAACCTGTAAACCCACGTAGCCCAACCATGATGGAACAAATCCTGCCAAGTGTAGGGATTACAGGTGTGCACACTCAGCTCACATACACTTTTGGAATAGAAAAGCCATCGGGTAAGATGTGGTAGGAAGTTGTCTCAGGAAAGGCAGGAGGCAAAGTGATTTGACAATAGTGCCTGCCATTCCTGCAAAGAATTAGCATCCCTTTGGAAAGGAGTGGGGTTTGAGAATAAGAAAGGGGTTTTAGGGTGATAAAGACAGGGAGCTAGCTCGCCTGCAAGAACTCTAGACAGGAACTAATAAAAGCCAGGATTCTAGAAGGATGGGGGCGTTGCTCAAGAAGCACACAAACCTGCCTAGCCATGTACAAGGACTTAAGTTTAGCCCACTTTCCCCATCTTTAGAAACAGCAATAGCCAGGTACCAGTGGCTCACACCTGTAATCCTAGCTACTCAAGAGGCTGAGAGCTAAAGATCAGGATTCAAGGCCAGCCCGGGCAGGGAAGTCCATGAGACTCTTATCTCCAATTAACCACCAGAAACTGGAAGTGGCACTGTGGCTCAAGTGGTAGAGTGCTCGCCTTGAGCTGAAGAGCTGAGGGACAGCGCCCAGGCCCAGAGTTCAAGTCCCACAACCAACAAAACAAACAAACCAAAAAGAAAGCAACAAAAAAAAGAAGGACCCAGTCATGACTCTAGGGAGAAGCCGGAAGCCCTAGTCACAGTAACGAAGTATGTTTTGAATATTTCACCAGGTGAAGAACGTGAGTCAGGACACACAGCCATCACTATGTCTTACAACCTATACTGAGGCCTGTTTGAGGAACTAGCAGCTTCCTGATACAGATGGGGAAAGTGAAGCATAAGAGCAACCAAGAGGTCATTTAATCAGAGCTGTGGAGGGTGAGATTTGTCCAGGCTCCTGCCTCTGAGAGTTTTCCACAGCAAATATCCCACAGAGTTTGCAAAGGGCCTTGAGAACCTGAATCTTCTCATGATGATCCAAAAGCTCAGGAAATCATGTCCTTTCCTAAATCCTTGGAGCAGCATTTTTAGCCTGTTTCCTCCTGCTTTATCAGAAGAGATAGGGGAACAGCCAAAGTCAGAAATCCTTGACCAAAAAAAAAAAAAAAAAGTGAACTAGACTTTTGGGCTGAGACCCAAGACCCAAGACATTTAACAAAAGACTGCTTTCTCTTCCTTAAGAAACTTCACATTTATCAAACTCAAGTATTTCATACCTCAGCACTGGTATACAGAGAGGAGAGAAGAAAGAAAGGGAGAAAGAAAGAAAAGGAGAAAGAGAGAAAGAGAAAGGAAAAAAGAAAGAGAAAGAAAGAAAGAAAGAGAGGAAGGAAGGAAGGAAGGAAGGAAGGAAGGAAGGAAGGAAGGAAGGAAGGAAGGAAGGAAGGAAGGAAGGAAGGAAGGAAGGACAGGACCAAATATTCCCTTCCACCAAGATATCACTGCCTTGCACTGATTAAGATTTTTTTTTTTTAAGTTTGGTCCAATAATTATGTCAATGGAAGAGGGAGTCCTCAAAGTCTACACGAAGCCAAAAGCTCCTCTCCTGATAGTATTGAGAGTACCCAGAGCCCTGGGTAGGAATGCTTATTTAGAGCAGAGAAGGGAGCCACCCTTTCAAGAGAAGAGCCAGGAGTCTGGTTACACTTGTTCCTCTACCAGGAAGCCCCTCCCATAGCCACCTGACTGAAGTCCCAGAATTGTCTAGAATGTAGGTATGGGGATTTTCTGGCATCTTGAGCGGATACGCTAGGGCTTCTTCTTCCAGCTGAGCTGTGTTCAACCCAGGACCAGAGGTCCACAACCACTAGTCCTCCCCAGTTAGACCTCCTCCCTCCCTCTGCCTCCTCCCCCAGGAAACAAATACAGTAGGAACGGAAAAATCCCCGGGGAAGCTGGAAGACCCCAGGGAGGTTGAGGACACAAGCCAACACAAACAACTCATCTACCCAGTTTGTCAACCTCTGGGAGACTCTCCCCCATACTCAATCACCAGACCTATGGTGGAGGGGGAGGGGGACACCACGGGAATGTCTCCTGGGAGCCATAGGAAGCCGACCCCAAGCACTGGAGCAGACTTCCCTGGGGGCTGGCGGGGGGGGGGGGGGGGGGGGGAACCAGGTCATGCTCTTGGAGAAGAGAGAACGGGCTGTCTGCCTTCGGGTGCAGTCACTGCGCAAGCCCAGCCTCCGCGCCCCCCTCCCCGGCCCCGCCCCACGGTGCAGGTGGATCTGCCCGGTGCTGGGAAGAGCAGCCAGGGTGGGAAAAGGGGCGACGCAGGCAGAATGAGAGGGCGAGGAGCAGATCGCGGCGCAGAGGGGAGGACACTGGCCTCCCCTAGGGCGGTCTTTCCAACGCGGGGCGCACTAATGCAACCAGCAGTGCCTCTCTTCTTATAACTGAATCCGCACCGTCGTGGCCAGGGGGCTCCCCGTGCGGGATGAGGGGTAGGAGGAGCGCCCGGGTCCCGGGCCACACGGGGAGGGCAGCGCAGCAGGTGTCCGCAGCAGGGCTACCTGCCTGCCACACCCTGCCCAGAACCCGCCCCCCCCCCCCCCCAGGGAGGGTGTGAATGTCATCCCAGAGACCCGTTTTTCGTGGCCGCGGGGTTCTGCGTGCGGGCGGGACCAGCAAAGGCAAGCTGCAAGCCCGGGCAGCGACGTGGGGCTGAGGCGGCGCCTCCTGGAGGGCACGCCGGAGGGGGGGGGGCAGGCGCTTCAGGCACCCCGCGGTTGCACCACAAGCTTC